GCGCACCTTTTTTTTACGCTACTACTCGCGCGGTGTATTTTGTACACCACTGCACATTATGGTGTATATTTATTTTTTTTTTAGTTTTATTTGTTCTAGAAGTCGTAAATATATGTATAGAAAACAACTGCTCAATATTTAAGTTTATATTTATTTGCAAAAAACAGTAATTAAACCCAAAAAAATTTTAAAAAAATGTAAAAAAAAAAGATATACTGAAAACAAAAAAAATTTGCCTATTCACTACTAGATCCTCCTTCCTTACACTTTTGGCATGTAATTACGTTTACACTATTTCCGTTTTACATACTAATTGGTGACAAGTGCTGCATGTAATTGAAGCATGGAAATCAAAAAGCAGTTATGTCCACATAAGCAATTTTTTCAGGAGACATAAAAAACCGTTAAAAGCGAAAAGTACATAACTTTCCTCATAATAGATAGTCTTCAACTTTAAAATCATCAGTAGTCATCATCAGTTCTCTAAAAAAAATAATAGTTGGGGTGGACTTATGGGTTTTTTTTATTTCCACAAAAAGAAATACAAAGAAAATGTTATATAAATTCAGTATCTGATTCGCTTTCATCACCTGGGACACTCTGACAAGCTGCAAAAAGTTCTACGTAGTACTGTTGAGCTTCCGCGGAGAGATAATGTATTAAATTTTTAAGGTTTTCTATCTTTGCTTCCTTCATTGGTAGATAACTATTATAAAGTGGTTGTTTAGGAAAACAGACAACACTTTTATTTTTTTGTAAACTAAACTGGCTCCAAACTGTACCTTTCATTGTTTTACTGACATGAATTTCATGCTTATGAGATGCAGAATATTTTATCTATCTTGCAGTCCGATATTAAAAACTTTTCAGATGGTGTACCCCGTGAGCCTTTAGAAGTAATAGTTTTTTTAAAAATACTTGTAAAATGATTCTTAAAATCAAAAATCATGCCTTGTCGAACATCAACAACTTCAAAGTGAACATTATTGCGAGCAATATCATACCATTTCTCCGTCAGTTCTACTTTCTCCTGTCGCCTTTTTTGAATTTCTATTTTCGCAAAATCTCTGTCATTAGGTAAATAACTATGGCCTCTTATAGGATATCGTTGTTCAATATAGTCGAATCTTCCCATCTGAATTAGGCAATAAAAAAATTCAACTAGTGTATGATTTCTATTCTAGCCTGTGCACCCGTCAGAAAAAAACATAGAGTTTTTTTACTGTTTTAGGTATATAGTTCTCAATAAAGTGATTAAGTAGGCTAACCACCTCTGAACAACCTTTCTTTGCATCGGTTTCTTTGTACATGTACATAACTTGTTTATTGTCCGACATCTTATGCACTCCAAAGTTATATACCCACATCTGCCTAGAGTAGAACTCGTCTGTGACGTTTGTTACGGGCACAGGAAGATTCTGCTGATAATCAAAAGTTATCATTTCGGTATCTTGGTTATCCTCAGCCAGCTTTTTACATCGGATAATTTCTTCATAAAAGGTTTTTGCTTTCGTTTTATGCAGTTTTAATTGAGTTTGAAGTTGGTTTCTTACATCAGAGTTTTTTTCAGATTTAATTTTCACATTTAATTCTTCACAAGGTACTGCCTAAATATCTTCTCCTTTTTGCTGTGCTACTGTAATGCGACACTCTGTACGGGAATTTTCGAATATGAAAATCGATAAGCTGAAGAACACGTTCTGGTACAGCATTTGCACGGTTTGTGTGTTTTCCTCTTTGCTCTGCAGGGGAAAGCCCCATATTAGCAAGTTTGGAAAGTCTTCGTACACGATCCATTTTAATGCGCCATGTAAACTGCAAAAAGCCTTAAGGCACACAATATGTTCCTCATTTCCTGTGAATGAAATATATTAATATATTGTATATCACTTTGATTTTATTACTTTAAATTATACAAAAATATATATGTACTGCGACGACCTATCCTGGTTCGGTCCTAGGAAAAGGGGTCTTGGTGCCCTGTTATGTGTTCGGGATGTTAACGGTCTCGGGCGCCACCTTATGTTTAGAGAGTTAAGGAACTCTTTCGCCTCCAGGTAACTTTTGGGGGTTACAGTCGGAGATCCAGGGATTCGGTATGGGAAAGAAGAAAACAAGAGAAATTCGGAAAACAAATAACTATCAACTTTATTAAAAATAAAATAAACAAATAGGAGGGCAGTTTATTGCTTTGTGACCACGGTCGGAGAATGGGGACGGTGGGAATAAATTGACAAGACTTTGACTTTATAATAAATGAGTTTAAATTAAAAAAAAAAAAAATGAGGCGGAGGTATGGGATACACCTGGAAACCTTCCTAAGGTGCAAAGGAACGGAATACTCGAAGAACCTTCCAAGAGTATTAAGGTTGGGACAAAATGTACAACAATCAATGAAAATTAACAGCAAAATAAAATCAAAGTCTATCAAAATAAATTGGACTTACGGTAAACTGAAATACGGATATTTCGGAAATTAACTGTTGACGAAGACTGTTGTAGTACTTGTTAAAGACGGTCGTAGTACTGATGAAGAACTGTTAAAAATCAGAATTTTGGCCGGCTATTTATACCATTTTGGGGCGAAAACTGGATTTTTCCGCGTGGGGGATCGTATCAGTACAAGTTATCAACGACTAATTTACAATGCGCGGCGCTAATTAACAAAAATAGCAAAATTCTGACGGCGCTATCGGATGCGGGACATAAAATTACATAATTACAGTTTTTGAACGGGTAAAATCGGTTAAAGAACGGCGGAGTAATTAACAATTAATCAACAATAATTAACGGAAAAATTTATAATACAAATCAAAAGATACCCTTACTTATACAGAAAATCACAAAAATATTTTTAACAAAATCGGCCACTGTTTACGGCACTTATATTCACAGATGTTTTCCCGACCACGTGTTTCACGTCAACACCAATTAATCGGTATTAATTTACGCGCACCTTAACACAAAACAATTCCAGCAGTTGGGTGATGTTCGGGGCAATCCTACATGGGCAATATTTTCAACGGATGACCATCAGGAATGGAGTAATTTAATTAATTATGATGCGGGATGATTTTCGGTGAATTATTGTATTAATAATAAGCGGATCATCTTTAGAATCGTTCAACGGTTATTTCATGATATTTGTAAATGTTTGAAATCGGTTTGGTCGGTCTACGATTTCTAATTCCGCATCATAAAAAATAGTCGCTATACGGTAGCTCGACGGTAGCTCGCTGGCTGCTGAAACTTCCTCGGGACGGTCGGCTGGACTGATAGAAACATGTGGCTTGTCGTATCTTGTTTGGAAATTTGTTAGTTTCGGCATTATTTAATTATTTGATAATAATTTTTCGGAAAGCACATGTTTTCGTGATTCAGCAATTTTATTAATCACTTTCATTTATTGATGATTCGGTCAGGGAACGTTGTTGGAATTTAAGATAACGGTTTCGAAATGGAAAATGGGGAAAATCAAAGTCTAATTAAGAAAATTATCAAAATTTAAAAAAATGTGAATTGGGTTGCCTAAACGGGCGGTGATAAGGAGATAAGATATCTTTTTCGGAATTTCTATAAATCGGGTGGAAACTGTAACGTATCGAGGTAGTGTGGGAAGTATACTCGGATATATTTAATTTTCGGTAATTTTTCGGAATATTCGGTTTTTGAAAAATAAAAATAATGTAACTTCGTTACAGTACCAAGTTTAATTTTGTAGAGAAATGCTGCACTCCGTTGTTTACCACCCTGCTTTCTGGGTCTATGTCGAGCAACAGCACGTGGGGTAATAAGTCCTTGTAAATAGACATCTTGGGCTACTTTTTGTCCATTTTTGCCAATAGCATTAAATCGATTCAGGATATGAAGCATTGCTGCATTACTGAATTTATCGAAACATTTCTTTCTACAACTACAATATTTGCCAATTTAGTTTATTAGTTACAAGTAAAAGTTTGAGGTTATATTTACTTGCAGTTTGCGCCTGTTGTTCTACTTGCTACAATATTTCCTTTCCAATTAAGATGCTCCTGTCCTTCAGCTTTTAGCCTTTTGATTTTATTGCGTTTCCACTCCTTATCATTTCTACGTTTTTTAACACGAATTTCATCACTTTCCGAGTCCGATGACTCCATTACGCAAGCGTAAAATAACCACTGAACGGCACTTATGTGATGATGTCAAACGTCTAACAGCTGCGTTATTGCGCACGCAACCTAGCAATATGGTGTACAAAAACCCTGTAAGTCCATGAACTAAAGGGATTTTTGTGTTCCACGATATTTTGGGAGCGTAGTACTTGCCGCATATTAACAGACTTACAGACTTTTTGCACTACATGGATAGCTGGCATGTTTAACAACAGAATTATGTATTTAACTCAAATATTCAAAATATTGGACTTACAGGATTTTTGATCTCCTTCATTCAATTGTAGTCACTCTGTTCTTTTTTCTACCGCAGATGAAGCATCTTCCTCTATATTTTCTCGGTGGCTCTTCGTCTGTGTCTGCTTGAGCTTCTCCATATCTGCATAGAAAATGTCTGATATCTATGGGTAGAGTAGATATTGCAGCTCTTTCAGAAAGTTGAGTTTTCATCAGCGACAGAGATAGCGTTTTTAGGAAATTTCTTCTGAACTTGTGAGGAGAATCAGAGTGAGTGGCGTTATATAAAATTTGGCTATTTATGCCTGCTATATTTAGCAACTGAAAGAAAAAAGCCAAGGGCCATCTTCTTGTTCTTCTTCCAACAGAATAAGTATTGCACATTTTGTCGACTGTGTCCACACCTCCCTTTGTGATATTGTAATCTACAATGATCTCAGGTTTGTTAGTATCTGATCAATAGCGGAGTCGTCGTGCATAGTTGAAATCAAAACAATGCATTTATTTTTTTTTTGGATATGTGAAACTATCGTTACATCCTTTTGAAATCCAAAAGTTGATGACCCAACTAAACTATTTTTATTTGGCAGGAACTCTAGCGGCAGCTCCCGTTTATTTTTTTTTTAGGGTTCCAATAAATGTTATTTTGTCTTGTAACAGTTCCAATGCCAAAGGGTAACTTGAATACCAATTATCGCAGGTTAAATTCCTGTTACTTAATTTCTGTTCTTCCAGCAAGCGGTGAACTATGGCAGTTGGTGTGTTTGATTGGTTGTATGGTCCGTCTGCTTGTTTTCCACAGTACAGCTCCAAATTACTCACGTAAAATGTTTGTGCGTCACAAAGCACAAACACCTTCAAACCATATTTAGCAGGTTTGTTTGGTATGTACTGTACAAAGCTGCACCTCCCTCTAAACGCAATCAACATTTCGTCTATTGTCATAAATTCACCCACAGAGTAGTTTTTCTTGCAATTATTCACAAATTTGTCCAAAATAAACCGCACTGCTGCCAACTTATCTGTTTGTCTTCTTTCATGCCTTGTTATTTTGTTATCAAATCTAATGTTTGCAAGCAAAAAAAGAAACCTTTGATAACTTTGAAATATTTCTGATCCCGTTCCATCTTTTGTCCATAACTCCAAAAAATGAGTGTGGTTTTGCTTCTTAGCTCCAGATAAAAATAATAAGCCTATAAAAGCTAGCATTTCCGATTTTGTAACGTTCTTTGCGTCTCGTACTCGATCAGAGTTTGGTTGAACTCTTGAAATTTCCAAATTAGTACACTGAATAATATGTTCAACCATTTCATCATTGAACATTTTTGTGAAAGCACTTATCTCATCGGTTATATCCCTTGCGCATTGTTTTGGTCCTGGTAGTATTTTTATTATATTTTTGCTTCTGGGCTTAGTAGATTTACTCCTAGGGTAGGTTTTATACCAAATAGTTTTTTTATCTTTGCCAACATACTGTCCTTCATTAGCCACTAATACTGAGAGAGGAACATCGTCAGAATCAGAATATTGTTCACCTTCCACTTCACCGTTTTCTTCTTGTTCGCTCATTTCTTGCTCGGAATTCGAATTGTGGTTATCTTCCTCTATACCTTCACTCTCATCGGATATGTCTGCTTCTCCTCCAACTTCTTCTTCGGAATCTGTATCATGTATCACTTGGGCCAGAGCTTCCAACTCATTTTGGGTAAAATTTTGGAGATCTTCACTCGATGCCTAGATAAAATTAATCGGTTAACTAAATACATACCTACATTTAATATTAACCTATGCACACACTACGTAACAAAGGCTTTTTTGTAGAAAAACTAAAAAAATAAACATTTTGATATACTTACGTAGCTACTCGCGTTGGCGTATTCTGTACACCACGATAAATTTCTCTGGATATCTCACCTCCTACTAACAATCGAGACCGTACTGGCAGGACACTTAGAAGCAGTGTTACCAATCCAAGCAATGAGAATTACCCAAAGTCATATGTAATATTACCCGACATTACCCGAATTTCAAAAAGAGAATAAAACAATATGGAAAAAATCAAAATCATTTTTTTTTGAGTTGTCACATACTTTAAACACAACATAAAAAAAAACAATTTTTAAACTGTATAAAAACACACAAAAAAATGATCAACAATAAACAGCAATACAACTAATAAAAATGTTTGTTATAAAATATGAATACAAAAATAAAACATATTCTTAAAAATAAAAATACAAAAAAAAACATATTCTCAAAAATAAATAAGAAAAAACAACATAGGTACTAAAAATAAAAACAGCAAACACAATAACAATAGCTATAAATAAAAATAAATAAATCTTTTTTTATATATAAAAATAAAATAAGAAAATGGATTTAGCTCCTGAAGTCGCATGGTGCCCCTCCGATTTGTTTCCCCTATTGTTTGCTCTTCTATATTGACGGTAATTAGATTTAACTTCTGTAAACATGTTATATTTTCTATATTGTAAACTCTTTCAGTCGTGCCTGAGGAAGGTTTAATTGTAAAACCGAAACAGCTGTAGCACCGATTTGCCAGTTTAAATAAACTATTTTTCGTCGTACATACAACCCCAGGGTAATTTAATTCGGTCTTCAAAAGCCAACACTTGAAGGTATTCTTTTAAGGGTTCATATTGTTCCAGCACTCTGTCAACACATTGCTTTAGTGAGAGCCAACGCGTTGCTGCTGGACTTAATATTTTATGAATTTTAATTCGAAAAAATTCTTGAAACTCTTTAAATTTTTTTTGCCTTGAAGAACTTCTAGAAAAATGGCTTCCTAGGTTTCGCAATAAGTCTTCAACTGACCGTGGCAATAACAAACAAGCCTTTGAAGCTGCCAAGTGAATCATATGGCATGAGCATTTAACGCACACAACATTTGGAATCGCTAATTTTAGTAAAGTGAAGTAAAGTGAAGTAAACTGAACTATGAACACCTGTCATTACATTTGGAGTATCGGAAAAAAGCCAACTAAGTTTGAAAATGGAATCCCTTTTGATTCAATGGCATTTCTAAGTGTTACAAAGAGTTCCTTTGCTGTACTGCCTTCTGCATCAATGATGTCAAAAATGTTCGACCGTTCGTTTTTATCTTTGTATTTTTCGCTTTTAACCTTCCACAGTTCTTCATGATCTCTAAATATTTCAAAAAATTCCATCCAAAAGGACTTCTCGCTTCCACAAGCCATGTTGAAAATGATGTTTACCTCACAAAGGTTACAGATGGAATGACAAAATGCATAACAGCATAGCCATCCACGTGCACGCTTGCTTGCAAGCCTGATGCTCCGCCCACAGAAAATCAAAACGGTTTGAATTGTGTCATGCAAGGCTGTTATGCCGAGGAAAGCGTCTCATGCAACCCCATCCACTGTCAATCTTGCATGATAGCTTGCGATGCTTGTCATGCATGCATGACCGTGGATAGGCCCCTTAAGGCCGCACAAAGGGAGAGTTCAATTTTGGCTAGAGCGAAGCGTTGTCGAATCTACGTCAATTTAACCTAAAAATTTCTAACCTAAGTTTGAACTTAGAATTTTTTTTTGACAACTCAATTTACTTTTATCTAGTAAAAGTAAACAAGTGTTTCTAAATTATCTGCGAAGAAATCGAAACCATACCTGAGATCGAGTCCAATGTTCCATCCTGTTCCCGAAGGACCCGAGAACTAAATTTCCTGAGAATCCTAAACTTCTAACACCGAAGAACATCCTTCCCGCAAGACCAAGGTCAACCAACCATTTTTAACTGACATTTCACGCCTCCGGAAACAAGTTAAGTGAACATAATTTCCTTTTATCGAACTCTTTAATTTTTATAACCCTCGCGATTAAAATAAAAAAAAAATCAATCTTAAAAGACCCTTATAAATTAACGCGTATAAGCTTTGTCAATTTCAACACTCTTATAAGGGAGTTACCTCTTTCTTGCACAGATTTCTTTATGCTCTATTTTATATTTAGTTCGTAAATTTAAAAACTTAGTTATAGGTGTCTCCATGAACTTGCGTTTTATTCTTTTTTTTTTGTCCCTGAGATTCATGTTCTTTAATTTAACAAAAAAATGTATGTTTTGTTCGTTGTTATCGAATTAAATAATTGTTATATGTTTTCTGTGTGATTTATTTGTAAAAAATTTGGTTTATATAATTAATTATTTCGAACAAAACAAAATAATACAATATATATAAAAGCTTACCTACAAATAATAATTTAGTTCTGTGCGTCAAAAAGCAAGGAAAACTGCAAAGGTGTATACAGGTGTTCCATCTCAGACGAGCCACCCCGTATATTTCTTATCCCATAGTGATTAGAAAAGTTTCCCGAAACCCGTCGAATACTTCCATACAATAATACAATCTTGACTGAAAACCGTCTCTAATACGGTTCAGCATAATCGGAGTTATGTGACGACACTCATTTACAATTCGTTGGCGTAGTTCGTCCAAATTTTCAGGCTGAGTCACAAAAATCTTGGACTTAAGATGTCCCCACAAGAAGAAGTCCAGAGGGTTCAGGTCAGGAGAACGGGCAGGCCACTCTATAGGACCTCCTCTTCCAATCCNTTGCAGTAGCGTTAGTTCTTTTAACAGACAGTCTCGTTGCAATTTGAGAATCGGGAAATATATTTGATAATAAAGGAGATAGAGTATCCAATAAAATGAAAGGTAAATTGTTGGTGGCTAACAGGGCGCATAGTTTAATTTCTGCATTTCTAATATTTTCATCGAGCGGAGTAGTTTTGTAAAGATCGGATATTTTAGTATTGGTGCAAATTTGTTTCAAATTATTTAAATGTTTCTCACTCGCAGCGTGCCTATTTATTACGCTTTTGTGGGCAGTTATATCTGTTTTACATAATTTACAAAAAGCATATTCGTTTCCCTTTTTTACTTTTGTCGTACTTCTTGCTAACCAATTTTCAAATTTGGATTCCGTAAGCCATGAGTTTGAAAATTTTGATACTTTTTGTCTAGTCTTTTTTTCTTCTTCATCTGAATCTTCAGATACATGTTCAATACGGCGTCGTTTTGCCTAAAAAACAAATAAGTATAACAAAGTTTCAATTTAATTGCATCATTTTTCTAAATGAAATTCAAATAATAATAAGAGTTAAACATAAAATCACCTGTAGTACCCAATTATCCATTAAAACGATGAATTAAAACAAGAGAAAACAACCGTATAAATATCTCATATTTCATATGTAGCGACAAAATAAACCTTTTAAACTTATCAGCTGACCAGATGTGTTATTCGTTATTCTTTACCAACGCTACTAATACAAAAAAAAGTCACTAAAATCTTACTAAATAAAAAATCAATACCTAATGGATTAGCTAATACTTATGTTGTTTTGTCGAATTACCCGACATTACCCGGTGGGTAACGTTAGTACGTACAGATCCACTGATATTTAAAATTACCCGGCATTCGGGTAATTATCCGCCAATTGGTAACACTGTCTACTCTAAACCTTATGACTACATATATGCCAGTTTTTAAATATACACACCAAAAGAACCTCCCCACGCCATCCATCGTACAAAAGCCGCACCACACAATAAAAGAACGCTAACATTTGTGTAAGGCCTGTCACGGTCTCTGTAATATGTTACTTTAACACTCGTATCCAACCAGGTCCTCCCAGGGGGGTGAAGGTAGTATCTAAAAGTCGGCAACGCCTACGTCACATTCATGCCATGCATGCGCAAATGCCAATTCTCCCACGTTTAGGTTTGACAACACCGCAATTTTCAAATATCACACGTTTTCGCACTGTTTATTGGCAATTTACCCTCACTTCTGCATGGTCTGTCCTAAACACGCCGACGCGCCACCAGTATGACAGAATCGAAAAGAAATAAACTTTGTTGTTTGAGGTTAAGTCATATTAGTTTTAAGGTAAAATATTCTTTTAATTAATTTTTTTGATTACTGCGTTGTAATTTCTTGTATTGTCATATCATGTCTAATCTCGCCGTATCATCCTTGTCTAGAAAGAAGTGGTCCTGTAAGCACCCTTTATTAAAAGCGTGTTAAAATTGTTGTTTTTATTGAAAATATGTATATTTTTAGATTATTTTTGTTATATTTGCTGTTACTATCAATAAAAAAAGCAGTTCACTTTTAAATTTGTGTTTTGTTTCTTATTTTATAAATGGAAAAAAAATAATAACGGAGTTGACCAGTTCAAATTTCGCGCCTAGTTGTGCCATGCAAAAGTGGGGGTAAAATGTGTTGCTCTGATTTTAACATGTAGTTGGCGCTTCTTCTATATATCTGTTCTGTGGGTCCTCCAAGACTCGTTCTACCAGCACCACTATCCAAAAGACCCAACAATTTAATACCAAAAACATCAACAGTAAGGTACTGTCTTTCATCAATTCCTGCATGCTCAATAATAAAATCTAATATCGTCCTTATCTCCTTAGTCGAGTTTGTTTCTTCGACGCCGTCCACCGCTTGACCATTCAATGGTGACGTTGCGAGTTTAACGAAGATCTATTAACCTGTTGAGAACCATTCTTTTTTCATTTCGGACAATTATTCTTCGTAACACCAGGTTGCTGACATCCATAACATCTAAGTCGTTTTGGTGCGGGACAATTTCGAACGCATTAAACCATGGTCGTTTTCACTCTCAAAAACTCGTTGTCTTTTACTCATTCTATAATAAAGTATACAATTAAACACCAATTTATTTGATAATGACAACTTGAGTATTTTTAGCATTTTTTACATAGTCGATATTAGCATTCCTTTTATTTATTTTTATTGCTTCACGATACAGCTTCCTATGCCTTTGTATATTTTGCCGCCCAACAAGTTCAGGGTAACGCCTATGAAAATCATTTAGTGTGTGCAACTTCTCGCTAAGGTATTTAATATCATCATTGAAAGCAGCTGTGATTTCTTGTATAAACATGGAAAACTAGTCACTAAACTCCATTACAACTTAATCTACAAATTCAAAGTTTATTTTTGCAACATTATTATAGAAAGTAAATACTAAGCTTTGTAACAGGTCTATAGGTTGTTATTTTTTTTTGAAACTGACGTTGTCCAAACATGCATCGTTTCTAGTATTCTCATAATTAATCCTGACTAAGCCATAAGATGTGCATAAGGAACAGAGCATCTCCACCTCTCTACATACTTTATGAAAATGTACATTAAAATTGCCGGTCAGGACTATATTCCCATTGAACATTAGTTTGTTCAATACCATGTCCAATCTTGTCATAAAAGAGTCAAAACTACCCCGAGGAGAGCGATATACGGTTATAATTTGTATGTCATTACAAATAATCCCTGCAACCTCAAAGTCCATCTCGTTCGAGTAACACAATATCAAACGACAGGGGCCTGAGGTATACTGTTTCTCTAGCAAAAATAGCAACTCCACCACGTGAGTGCAGTGATCTACAAAAACTGGAAACTATTTTAAAATCGCTTATCTTTACAATGTTAGATTCATTTTCATTTAACCAATGCTCGTTTGGGCATAAAATACTATATTTTTTATCTATAAGAAAACCCTCGAGCTCAAAAATCTTATTACGCAAACTCCGCACATTATAGTGTAGTATAGATGTAACCATCCCTGACCCATCAACACCGCCCCTCCATTACATAAGTCGGTTACAAAGGTTCGTTTGTCGCGCGATCAAGTTCGACCACATTTACCCTAATTAAGTTGCGATCATTGGAACAGTCATGTTTCTCGATGACATTAATAACTAATTTAGCAATATAAGATAATAACTTACGCTTACCAAACAATCTAACATGCAAAGCATGCCTAGTTTCATTTATTTTACCAATTAAAGAATTTGTTTCTACGTAACTGTTTCCCGTAGGATCTATTTTTCGTAGATAATTTAATATATTTGCATATTAAATTGTTAAATTTGATTACTTATATGTATTTGAAAACACGATCATGTAAGATTAAACAGTAGAGGAAAGTAGCATTAGGTATCTCTTCACTCGTTTCAAATTCAATGCGAATATCAACGATTCCAACATTTAAAATATCATTTTGTCGTGAACAATCAATAACAATAATCGGTGTATTTGCTATAAATGTATCTCTGTTAAACATTGGTTTTGCAAGTTCTCGATCGTAATAGGTCTTTGCGAAATTACAATACGTTTCATATAAAACTGCAACTTGACCTGTCTTAAAAATTAAATTTAAAGCTTCATAGGGATATTTTTCACTATTTAAAAACACTTTCATATCTGTTAAATTACAGTGGTCAAATTGTGATGCAGAATGTAACGGATTATCTTTTTTATTTATTTGAAACCCTAATATAAAGTATCTGGGCTTTTCTAATTAAGCAGATGTTTTAATTGTCATGTGTGTTGTCTACTTTTTGGTAATGATGGGTATTCATGTAAATCAAATGATCTAAATTCCATGTCTAATTCAGTTCCTTGTTCTATGTACTCTAAAAGTTTTAAACGTTCAACATCGGCTACAGAAACATGAGGGACTTCCCATACTATTTTATTAATATTAATTATCATATTAGGTAAAAGACTTTCAATAACATTTTTGTCTAAATTACTGCGTACTAAAACTAATTCTTGACGGAGATTTATCAAAATTTTATTATAATCTTCCGCGAAACCAAGAAAATGTTCCAGGGGAACACAAAAATCAAAATCACCCGTATTTTCATTTACTTTAACATTTGTATATTCGAAACCTGCATTAGAGGCATGATAGTATTCTGATCTTGTTAGTGAGCAAAGATTTTTTAATGTGCTAGCTATTCCTGGATTTCTTACTCTGTCAATTACGTTCCCTCCACATTCAAATCGTACTTCACTAAACATATGAGCGATCGGATTTGCTGACAATTTTGAATCTTTATCAACGGTTCCCTCGTCTTTCAATAGTTTCCCTTGTACGTAAATAAAAGATTGACTTGGTAACGTGTAAAGGTCCTGTTGTTGAATTGCAATCCGAATTTCATCGCTATTGTTAAAAGAATTTGATGATTATGGTAAATGATTATGATACTGAATCCGTACGAGTGAATTATCAAATTGTACTTTATCAGAGACGTTTAAGATACTCATATTGTTATTATTTTATCAATTGTAAATCTAATGATTCAAGAAATTGTGTGTATTGATGTGTTAACTGCTTCACAGTATGAAAAGAACTAAAAATATTCGTTTGATTTTGTGGGTTTATATCACCTTTAACCTTAAGAACCATTATTAGTAGAGAGCTTTAAATGTAGTCTTATCTTGATGACTTCTCCTCTGAAATTAACCAACAATCCGATTTGATCAACTATTTTAAGGGTAATATTATTAATTGTTTGTGTATTCAAAGGCATATACCGGGTGTTTCATTTAAAATGACATATGCTTATATCTCAAAAGATATAAGCATCGAAAAAAGTTTCAAGTAAACATTTTTTGGTGAGAAGGGGGACACATTGTACACATGAACAGATTTTTTTCAGAGTTATGTAAAGGCCCTTCTGACGTCATTTTTATTTTTTCAAATGGCACATATACTTTTTTCTTTCAAAGTCTTAAACAACTTGACAAACTGATTACTTTATGCTTAAACATTTTTTTTCGTAAACTCTCCGTTGTGAAGATATCAACAAAAACAAAAATAAAATAACAAAAAATTACAATAAAATGTAATTAAAAAAAATTAATTAATAAAAAAAAACGATTTAATTAATCGTAAAATAATATTAAAATTCTTCTTAACTTTTGAAAGTTAAGAGGAATTTCAGTCAAATCCTGTTCTAAACCTTATTTGAATGTGCGCTAACGTGGGATAAAAATTTCAAGCGAAAAAATCATTGTGATCAAAGCAAAAATGGAGCACTTCTCTACTCCACAGGAAATTCAGATGGTGTTAGCTTACGGTGAAAGTCGTGAAAATTTCGCCGAGGCCCATCGCATTTATGTTCGAAAATTTCCTGGAGAAAGAGCGCCTTGTCCTAAAACTTTATATCGAATAGTTACAAAATTTCTGGAATGTGGTAACGTGGAGGAAAAAAAACGAACACGTGCAAGATCGGTTACAAATGAACAGAATCAAATAGCTGTTTTAGCATGTTAATCCTCGTGTAAGTTGCCGCCAATTGTCAAAAGATTCAGGCATTTCGTTAACGAGTGTACATCGGATTTTGAAACTTAATAAATTTCAACCGTATCATGTCTGTCTACACCAACAATTACATGGCGATGATTTCGAAAATCGTGTGCAATCTTTACTTGGGCTATGGAAAAATTAAGATTGAATGAAAATTTTTTCTTCAATGTACTATTTTCCGACGAATCCTTTTTCACCAATCACGGCCAAGTAAATCGTCATAACATGCATTACTGGTCACATGAAAATACTCGTTGGCTAAGACGCTGTCTATCATCAAAAACCTTGGTCAGTTAATGTCTGGTGCGGCATTGTTGGCAATAAAATAATTGGACCTTTTTTTATTGATGGCAATTTGAATGGCAGAAAGTATCGGATTTTTTTGTTGAACGATTTACCGGTTTTGTTGGAATACCTTACTCTGGAGTGAAGACTTGCGCTATGGTATCAGCATGATGGATGTCCATCTCATTATGCTCTAGCCGCAAGAGAAGTTTTAGACGAAATGTTTTCTGAAAAATGGATAGGACGTAATGCACCGGTGAATTGGCCAGCTAGGTCACCCGACTTAACTTCTCCCGATTTCTTTCTTTGGGGTTACCTCAAAGAGAAAGTTTACAACCAGGTTTCAACAACACCAAACGATATGAAAAACCGTATCAGAGCAGCTTGCGAATCAATAACTGAAGAAATGCTTGGCAATGTGCAGAGAACGTTTTCAATGAGAATTCAGAAATGTTTAGAAGTGAATGGTCATCATTTTGAGGCATCGATCATTTAATCGATGTATAAAGGTAACTTTATAAATTTTAATCAATGTTCTAAGGTGATTTCAAAAATGAAGAAGAATTTTGGTAGTATTTTACAATTAATTAAATCGTTTTTTATTAATTAAATTTTTTCAATTACATTTTGAAAAATGTTGTTTTATTTTTCTTTTTGTAGATATCTTCATAACGCAGAATTTAAGAAAAAAAAATTTTAAGCAAAAAATTCGTGGTTTGTCAAGTTCTTGAAGACATTGAAAGAAAAAAGTATATGTGCGATTTGAAAAATGAAAATGACTTCAGAAGGGCCTTTAGGCAACTCTGAAAAAAAATCTGCTCATGTAGGGTACACATGAGCAGATTTGCCCCCCTTTTCACCAAAAAAAGTTTTTTCGATTCGAGTTTTGGTTTTCGACTTATAAGTATATGTCATTTTAAATGAAACAACCTGTATATTAAATTGTGGGGAGTTTCTGATATTTTATAATCTTTAGGTACTGTAGGAAAAAATGAGTAGACAGTGTGCACAGGTATGTCGTCGCTGTGTGGGGATTTTATTGGAACCAGTACATCTGATTTATTAAATCCTAATATTGTTGAGATGGAGTTGTGATCATTGCTTGTAGCGTATCCTCATTTGCTTGTAATCGTCATGATAAGTACGAATAACCTGAGCTTCAATGTCTTTAGGAACATAAAATAACAGGTCTTTCTTATACTTGCGATAAACTAATCCATCCCTCATTTCATAAAGTTTACTTTCATTTTTTTCTAATTCGTCTCTAATGCTTGATATATCCCTATCACTATATTGGTTTATACTCAGAATCCTTTCAAATGAATTTCCTTCGATAATTAAAATACTTTTCCGGCTTAACGCATTAGTGTGTACCATCTGTTTACCAGACCTTCTCAAAATCCTTGGACTTATCTCCACTTCTTTTGTCAAGTTAATTTTATACTATTACAATCAGTTACTATTTTGAACAAAATGCCTTGTAAATGCACAAGAAAACGTTGTAAAGATAAACAATCGCTAACTTCTTCAATTCATATGAGTGATTGTTTAGATTTCATTCGATAAAATTTCATTCTTTTTATGTTTATTTTTCATATTTTATTTAATTCAATTTTTTCGGATAGATTGTACATTTTCGTTTTATTTTCGTGCCAAAATTTTTGTGTGCGTTCATTCCGCCCGCAAGTAGAAAATAAAAAAACCAGTACTCGTTTTCTTCGATTTTGCCGTTAGGACACAGAAAATAAAGATGAGTTTTTACAATGAACTTTAGTGCGGTTCTGTTCAACAATTTCCTTCATAAGTTTAGTTTTCATTAATGTTCTAAGTGTACATTCATGACAGTAAAAGCAAGTATAGTTTTCTATTAACATTTTCGAGATCGTATAATTAGTAGATCAATTCATTTTCAAAAACGATCGTGAATAGATTAATCTGAAACAGTGACACTTAGACTCAGTAACGGTGGTATGTTTACTAAAGTAAAATATAGGGTGAAACTTATTATCTTTTTGCATTAAAATGGAACCAAATCCGTATGATGAAGCGTCACAATGCAATTGACTCCCTAAATGTGGACTATAAATGGTCAAAACCGGTTTCTCCACTAACATCTGTTTTAATTTCTCAAAAGCTTCAACTTCCTCACCACTAACTGTAAAAACTGCATCTTTTCTTAATAAATTGTATAAAGGTTTGGCAATAAGTGCAAAATTTGGAATGAACCTGCAGAAATAAGAGGTCAAACCAGGAAACTTTGTACTTCTTTGAAATTTGAAAGTAAAATCCATGTTGCAAATATTTTGTAAAATAGAAAAATGGTTAAAAACTTCTTTAACTTGCTTAAAAACTTTATTTAATATATAGTCGTATCGATTTCGGGAAACACTCCCATCATACAAGCTGTATACAGAAACAAAAAATGAGTGTAAATTTGAAATATAAGTAGAAGTTATAATTGAAAAACAATAATATAAAAAGGGGGATATACGTTTCATTCAGAAATAAAAATAATAACTTACTGTCAATAAGGGTAAACATGAAAAACAGGAACATCCATAATTAAGAAATAATAAACTAGTGAAGGTAAAATGCACGAAAATCACACGAGAAAACACTAGAAAACATGTGCGGAAAGTGGCATTATTCAAAGTAAAACATGTGCTATTGAGAAAAGAAGAGAAAAGGCCGAAAAAAGAAAAAGAACTCGAAAACCAGAAAGAGCAGTCATATAAGAAGAAAAACAAAAAGATAGTAACCCGCAAGTCGTGAAAAATAAACAAACGAATAACAAAACCGCCAAAATCAAAAATCAACTATCGGCATCCAAATACATAAACAGTGCCTTGTAATTATTACTAATTTGATAGTTTAAGATGGATAAATTTTCATTTTTACTGTGTTTATTAATTTCAAAAAGCTCTAGAAGATCAAGCTTATAACCCTTAGAACATTCATGAAGTAGTGAAATGTTTTCATAATTTATGCTATGACCCGTCTCTATATGATGTTTATATAAATTAGATTGAATTCTACCTTTATGTTCAAGAATTCTGTTTCCTAAACGACGTCCGGTCTGTCCAATATAAATTCCGTTACAGTTAGAACATCTAACCGAGTAAACGCCATTTTTACGAAGTATATTTCCATTTTTAGGGTGGTAATTAGATAAAAGTTTAATAATAGAACAATTGTTAGAAAAAGCTAATTTAATTTCATATTTATCAAAAATGCTTCTGGATACCAAAGATATTTTATTATATGAAATGGGGTTGTAAATATGCTTATCATTCTCCCTAACATACAATGGGTCTTTACTCCGAAGTAATCTGAAATGTAAACCATTGATAATATTTAAAGGAAAACCGTTATTCAATGCAAGAGTATGAATGTATTTAAATTCATCAATTTTATGTTTTTCTGATAAAGGGTAACTGATGGCACGGTTAATCAAATAACGAAAATTCGCCAATTTAGGAGACATTGGGTGAAAAGAATCAAAAGGGATTGTAGTTGGGACCATAAAAGGTTTCCTATAAATATTATAAGACAAAGTATTATTAATTTTAGTAAGTTCAAGATCAAGGAAGTTAAGTGAACACTCTTTCTCAATTTCTAAAATAAAATTTAAATTAGGATGTAAATTATTTATAAAATCGTGAAAATCGTTCAGTGAAGCAAAATTCCCGTCCCACACACAAAATACATCGTCGACGTACCTTATCCAAGCGTGTATTTTATTTTTGAAGGGATTTGAATTATTAATTATATAATTGTTCTCAATGAAGTCCAAAAAAATTTCAGATAGAAGACTCGATAGGGACATTCCCATTGGGAGTCCTTCAGAAACATGAAAAAATTCATTGTTAAAAGTGCAATAATTTTGTTTAACTACATGTTTCAACAGGTTATGTTCAGTGTTAATATTATTAAAATATTTTTTAAACAATTTTGAAGTTAACTCAAGTGTCTTATCGATGGGTACGTTTGAATATAAATTAGTAATATCAAAAGAAACGAGTAATTTATTATTATAAGGCTAGGCACACACGATCGATTTTTAGTCGGCCGATAGTCTATCGAATAGGCATATCGATCTTATGTAGCTTAGGAAGTGAATAGAACCTCGGGAGAGTAGGGTTCATACGAATAAAAAATGAACTGTTAAAAAATGTTGAGTTTTTAAAATTTTTAAATTTTGGCGTGAACTCGATTAAAGTTTCTTTACATTTGTTTATAAGTTCTCTAGTTTGTTTAATAATCTTATCCGTAGGATCTGATCTTAGTTTATTGTAATTATTGGAAGTCATAAATGAATATGTTTTGTCTAAATAAACTTTACGATCAATAATAACAGTACCAGTACCTTTATCGGCCCTCACAAAAATCACCTTCAGTGAGCTTTTGTTTTATGTTTTTAATGATTTTCCAATGATTGGCATTGGTTTCATTATAATGTTTTCTGTATTCAAATTTCTTTTCAGTTTTTTAAGAAAAGATATAAGATTACTTTTAATTTCGTTAGCCTGACTACATTGCTTAATAATGACATCGAAATCTATGGCAGTTTCGTACAAAGTAGGTTCCTTAATTAAAGCAAATTTATATCCTTTGTTAAGGAAAGCCATTTCATCTTCACTAAAACAGATGGTAGTTAAATTTGTGAATTGGGATATATTATCTTCTTGAATATTAACTTTATTTTTATTTCTCTGTTTCTCTTTATTAACGTCTTCCCCTTCAAATCCTCCTCCGTCGCAATTTCTGCCTCCTCCCTTAATTTAATGATAATTTGTTCAAGTTGTAAGAAGTGAAACACTTTACTGAGTTAACAATGTGCTAATTTTCCGTAGGTGGTGTTAAGTTTCTTATAGTGTTGTCTTTTTTCATCCCGTAAAATTCTTTTACCTAAATCAAACTTCCTGTCATCATTGATTCTCCTACATCTCACCTTTGCAAAATTTGGAATTATATTTTCTTTCATACATTGATTAATAAAAAAGATATGATTATTGATGATTCCAGTCTTTGTATACAGCCTTCTATATCCATGGATTAATGTCGAAGTGTTAACATTACTATTGAAAGTAAAATCCATGTTGCAAGTAATTTGTAAAATGGAAAAAGGTAAAATTCAAATTTACATTCATTTTTTTGTTTTTGTATACAGCTTGTCGCTGAT